TGGTTTGCTAATAACTTGCTAGCAAGTTACTAGCTGGTTTGCTAATAGCTTGCTAGCAAGTTACTAGTTGGTTTGCTACTTGCTAGCTTTTCTAGCTAGCAAGTTACTAGCTGGTTTACTAATAGCTTGCTAGTAAGTTACTAGCTGGTTTGCTAATAACTTGCTAGCAAGTTACTAGCCGGTTTGCTAATAATCTTTACAAACTACGTAACATTTTGAAGATTTTAAGATGGAGAATCTTCAAATAACTCAGTATTGAAAAAGTTCTTGTTGTGACTCTTTTTGACAGAACAAGTTACAGATATTCACGTGCTTTTGTCTGTCCCCCCCCCCCCCCCCCCCCCCCATGTCTTCGCCCACCATGAAGAAGCCCGAGAAGCCGCTGTTCAGCCCCACGTCCCCGCAGGACTCCTCACCACGACTCAGCACTTTCTCTCAGTCTCATCACCCAGGCCTAACAGGTGTGGGACACAGTGGTGAGTTACTGGTGCTTTAATCCCAGCTTCTCCTCGTCCCAAAAAAACAAAAACAAATGTTGGGAATTATGTAGTGTCCCAGAGTACTGAGGATTGCTTCTTCTAAACTCTCCCCATCAGACGCTCAAGCTTCCTCTCTCTTCTGTGTGTTTTTGCTCACAGTTATATCGACAAGGAGCCCCCCTCCTCACTCGCCCCTGCAGTTCTCGGCCTCGGCCATCTTGCCGCCGGCGCCGTCGCCCTACTTCTCGCACACCACCATCCGCTATCCGCCTCACCTCAACCCTGCTGATCCCCTCAAGAGCTACGTGCCGTCGTACGACCCGTCCAGCCCGCAGAGCATCCAGGTCAGTGTCAGAGTTTGTGTGTTTAAAGCAGGGGTTCTTAACCCTGGTCCTTGAGGAACACCGTCCTACTTTGTTCTTGACAAAGTAATTAAATCACTCGATCAGGTGTGTTGGAGCAGAGAAACAACTTTAACATGCAGAATGGTGTTCCTCAAGGACCAGGGTTGGGAACCACTGGTTTAAAGAAACCACTTTTTTTTTTCCTTGTTTTTTAATCGGGACGGTTTGGTCTGACTTCCAGAGCCTCTAGCCTTTGGTTTTTGTTATCTTGTTGCATCTGACCTCAAAAGATTAAAAAATAAGATAAATGACACAAAAAAGCAACATTTGAATTCTGCCTCGTTGCTGCATTTGAAACTAAAGAAATGCACAAATTTCTTTAAATAAAAACAGATTATCTGCTTATTGCAAGGGTTAGAATAGATTAAATGAATGATGTAAGTTGTTTATATATGTGTGTGTTTGTGTGTGTGTGTGTGTCGTTATTTTGAACCTGTTGGACGTAATTAATTAAAAGAACAAGATGGACTTAGTTTTAATTCTTGTTTTATTAAGTCACTGCTTGTTTTAGTATAATTATAATACATTATGAATCATTGAGTTAAGACAAATCCATGAATTCTTATTAAAATAGCAGTTTTTGGTTTGGGTTGTCTAATACTAGGAAAACAAACAATTACAATATTTTTAATTATCATGATGACAAGATTTATTGTGATAAATATATTACCACAGTGGAACAGTTGGAGACAAAAAAAATTGAAAGAAAATACTTAAATTTTTACTTGGACTCACACTGAACAACATGTTTTACAGGAGCTCCTGGGTCATAGTTAGCCAGGAGTAAAAAAAATAAAAATAAAATCCCATCATAGCACTCTATAGAGTTACAAAAACTAAATTGAGACTGGTTTGAGACACTTGAAGATAATTCTGTTTCTTGCTCATTTTTAATACATGTTCAAAATTCCAGCAACAAATAATATATAATTGTGTATTTTTTTCATATAAACATATAAAGGAAATTTAAAAAAGAGCGTTGCCCTGGGACTCACGCCATGAAATTGTTGTTCTTCGCAAACATTTTGAGACATTTTGGAGACTCCCTCCTGAATGTTGTTCTTGTCTCCAACAGTCTTCCATCCACACTTTCCTCACTATTATTCTGCGTAATTACCAAATGTTATTGGGATGCAATTTGTGTCCGTGATTTATTTAATATTGCGATAACGATAAATATATTGTGCAGCTTGAATTTTGATGAATTTATTGTGAGATTTCATGTAAATTAGCAAGATTGTTGACAGTTTTCAGTTTGTTTGATACGAGGCTTTTAAGGTTGTATTACATCCTTATGCTTGTACATAACTTAAAAAAAAAAACTGTCACCAAGTTCTTGCAACTGCAGTCGACGTATGACGTACAAAAGCGGACCAAGACTTGGGTGGTAAATCGAGCAGCGTCGCGCCTTTCATACGAACACACTGCAGCCAGTGTGCAGAGGCGTCTCCGCCGCTGAGAGGGCCGTGTGATATTTATGTGAGTTTTATTTCCCCGCTGTTCTCACTGTAAACAAAAGGCCTCGTAGACAGCTCCTTCTCCAAAAACGGGTTAGGCTGGGGAGGGGAGAGGAGTCGGAGGGGGTGAGAGACTGTTACTCCGGAGGAAAAACCACGGGGAACGATAAAGGTTGTAAATATTTGCCGTTGCCGGGGCCCGGCTCTTGTACAGAATTAACCGGCCCTCTGCTGGGGGTGCTGGAGAAAGAGAGGAGGGGGGGGTCCAGTAGGGAAGAGAGACGACCAGTTGGGGGGGAATGAAGCTGAAGAAGACGATGGGAGGGGGTTCTGCAAATAACACAGCGCTTATAATCCCATGGACGAGTGCCAGAATGTTTTATGCTTGCTTTAACGCAGATTATATTACACTCTAATTAAACATTCTATTCACAGCCAGGGGAACCCCGTGGACACGATTCTTCTCCAGAAAGCCCTGTTTGAGTTTTGAACTCTGGGCGGCCCTGAAATCAACGGCCCAGACAGACTAGCTGTCTCAAAGAGTAGCTCCCACTTGCCTCCTTTATTTCTTACTCGCACACACACACATCTATATGGTCTCTCTGCCTTGCTCTCTATAGTGGTGCATTCACACCATTGTAAAAGGTCAATCCAGGGCTCTCCCTGGCTTTTCACGCCTGCGCCCGCCTAAACTCCATTTATGAGCACCATTAAAATCATTGTGCGGAATCATGTAGGAAATCCATTGTCGGCGACTGAGGTGCCATTGTTGCTCACGGCCCCCTGAGAATTAGTAATAACTGTGACAAGACAGCGGCTGAAAGTGCTAAAAATCTTCCAACGGTGCTTTAAGAGTGACGGCTTCAGCTTGTCTTTAGTTGTTCCTTTTAATGTTGTCGAAGCAAACAGAGCAGTTAAAATAAATAGACAACGCCACGTTTGGATGTTAAACTCGTTCAGGACCAAGCATGTCGTGAAAGTGCAGGAGTGTGTTGCACACTTGTCTCAGTTTATTGAAATCTGGCCAACTGCACATTTACAAGCGAGCGAGAGCTTGTAAACACAAGTCGGCGGACGGAGCGAGTCTTCGTGAGAGGTTACGGGTTTCGGTCTTCGACCAAACAAGCAGACAAAACGGCTTTTGAATTTCTGAATGAAACTGGCTCGACTAAATGAAGATAAAACATCTCATGAAAGGAAGGAAACGATCACTTACAACTCGTACTGTTCTGTTTCTGTCCCAGTTTTTCATTTGCAAATTAACGAAAACCTGCAAAAACTTTTCCCGTTGACAACAACCGAAAAAGTGAGAAAATCTGGCCCTTTCTGGTTCTCAGGCAAATTTGACAGTAGAAACTTGGTTTAGAAGTTTTATCAGGACGTGGAAAATTGAACGTCATGTGACTGAAATGGCATTTTAGTATCTTTAATCGATTTTACACAATCCCAGTTAGTTTTATGAATTTTTGATTTATTTTTTTTTGTCACAGAACATTTAAAAGAGTGTCTCTTGGAACGTCTTACAATTTTCTCGCAAATCCTTGCAGAATGTGGAGATGGCACATCAACACTTCCCGTAAAACTCTACGACCCTTTTAAATTCTACACGACGGAAGATCAGATGCTTCTGCAGCTTACAGCTCGTTGTTTCTAGAAGGGTTTTCACGGTTTGTCTAAGGGTTAGTTTGTAGTTCGCTGTTCTCTGGCTGTCCCATGAGTCCTGTCAGGGAGTGACAGATACAGGTGTGTTGTTACCATGGTGACTGTAATGAGCCACTGCCAGCAGCTTTAACATTTTTTTTTTTAACTTGGTTTTCTTGACAGTTTTTTATACACTTCATACATCAAACTTAGCATTTTGTTAACTTAGATTCTCACATAAGAGAGGTTTATTTTTGTGTGCAGCCTAACAGCAGTGGTCAAGGGGTTGGAAAGGTCCCGGGCCACTTCGCCCCAGTTCTGGCTCCATCTCCACACCACGGCGCCGTGCGACCGGTCACGCTCTCCATGCCCGACACCAAGCCCATCACCACGTCGACAGAAGGTGAGCCGTCTGCCGCTGACACCTCCTCCAGTCACATTTTACACACCAAACTCAAGACACAGAGCAAACACTCGTATGTGCTGTATGTTGTCGTTGTTTTGCACAGCAAGTAAACATGAGCTGAAGATGTGTTCACCACAGTTTTTGTGCTCCCAAGTCTTTACCAACTCAGATTAATTTCGTCCATCAGTTGACTGTAATACAAGGCAAAACAGAGCCTGTGTACCAATGAGGGTGACGTTGTTGTTTTCTCAGTTTTACCCCCAGAAAAAGGAAAAAAAAAAAAAAAGAAAATTATCGGTCGTGTCCATTGTAGCTCAAGCACAAGATGAGTTTTAACAGCTGCACAAAGAGCTACGAAATTGTTTCCAGGTGTATTTCAAGAGGTACAAAACTTTGCAGGCAATGTTGGAACCAGAAAAAAAGAAAACAAACCAACAAAAAAACAACAAACCGCTAAAACCCAACTTTCTCTTTTACTGTTTTGTTTTTAAATTTGCTGAGAAATTATGTAAAATCATAACACTGTGAATAAGAGCAGTCAAAAAAATGGAAAAGGATTGCACTGAAGTTGGAAAACAAATCAAACTTGATCATTTTAATGATGGACTAAAGCTTCCTAGGTTATATGTGTTCATTTCTTAATATGTGATTTTATTTGCTGGCAAATACAAAACTGGCGTTTTACATCTCTAACACAAATGGTTTTCGATGGAAAATTCTAGCTCAGTCTCTGTAAAAAAAAAACAAAAAATACAACATTGTGAACATTATTGTGTTTGCTTAGATCGATTAGCTGTGGCGACCATTAGTTGTAGATTTACATTAAAATCCATCCAGTGATGCATGAGATATTTTGCTCACAGACAGAGTTATGCCAACAGATAATGGCAAAGTTTATCTATTAATGCTTAGAGTATGCATTGGGGGTGACTCTTGGCTACTACCATACACAATTTTAGCTTAATAGCTGTAAAAATGGCAGAGGTATAGGATTTTTTTGTATTTGCTAAAAGCGATCAGTTGTGGCAGCCATCTTGGATCAGACTGTCTTGATGCATGCTCAGTAATCCAGGTAGATACGTGTAACAAGGTTGAGTCAGGTCCTCTGAACGGATCCCCCCCCCACCACCACCATTATTGCGACTAGTGGCTGATTTTTGTTGTAGAGGGTGGAGGGCAAAACGGGGCGAGAGAGGGGGAGACACTGCGGAAAGGTCGTCGGGACCGGGATTCGTACCCGCGACGCCGCTATGAGGACTAGCCTTGAACATGGGCCGCGCTCTTAACCCCTGCGCCATAGCCGCGGCCCTGAAAGGATTCCTATTTGTTGAAACGTGTCGTCTTTTATCCAAAAGACTACATCAGTCTGAAGAACTCAACCTTGTTAGATCTTGGATCAGGCTGACTCCAAATGGTAACAGTTGTAGATGTACATCCGATGATTAGTTTAATTAAAATGACTGCATTTATTTAAAATATTAAACAATTTGAGTGGGCCTGAAATAAAGCCTTGCGGGACTCCACACATAATTTTACATACTTGTTTATGGCATCGGTTAATGAATTAAAAATTTTTTCGTTCAGATTGACAACTGTTGTGCCCTTGAAGCTTGTTGAAATGAAATCACGTGTTCCTGTGTGTTTTTGTGTGTGTGATGACATGCTTGCCCAGGCTACTCGACTCCTGGCACCCCAACGGCTAACCGCTTCGTCGGCCTGAGCCCTAGAGATCCTGCCTTTCTCCACCAGCAACAGGTGAGGTGTTTCCCCTAGTTGCAACATTGATTTCACCTGCTTTTCATATTATTCTTTTCATTTTCTGTCCCACACTTCTTCCTACCACTGAGATGTAGAAGAATTTGGTTTGTAGGCAACAACTTCGGATTTAGAACACTTCAGAAAGGTCTTGATTTCTGCCGGTGTCAAATCTTGTCTTTTTTTTAGGTTAATTTTAGCAAAAGGTTCAGTGCTGATCAGTCGTCTGAGTCAGATTAAAAGAAAGTTGTCAGTAGGTCGATGAGCGAGTGTGGTTGGGTTCATTTGGCACAGTTTAGAGAAGAAAACGCTTCAGGTTTTTTTTGCTCTTTTTTTAAGACAGACATAAAATGTGGGCGGCCGTGGTGCAGTGGTAGTGGCAGCCGACTTCTGATCGGAAGGTTGGAGGTTCGAATCCCGACTTCCCACACCATGTGCCGTTGTGTCCCTGGGCAAGACACTTAACCCCGAGTTGCTCCCGGTGGGACTGGATGGCGCCTTGCATGGCAGCCTACCGCCACCGGTGTATGAATGTGCGTGTGAATGGGTGGATGGCTGGTACTGTAAAGCGCCTTGGGGCCCCTCATAGGGGGCTGGAAGGCGCTATAGAAGTAAGCTCCATTTACCATTTACCATTTACCATAAAGGTGAAGGTTTACTGTCCCCGTTGCCACTACTCAGCTTTTTTAGAGCATAATGTGCTCATTTCTGTTTCCCCACACATTTCTTTTGAGGCTTTCTCTCTCTCACACGTCGGTACACTCCTTTTTTTACTAGCTGAATTAGAAAAGGTATCGCCGCCCTGCCGTAGGATGTCCTCGGACGGAAGTGCGTGTGTGCTTGTGTGTGTTTTCGCAGGAGAGTGTGTTCTCTCCCCCACCACATCTTATTGAAAGCGCTGGTTTGAGGCCAAGGCTTTTCCAACCACAACTAATTGAATGCATCTGCACGCAGCTCCATAACGATCGCCGGGTTGCTCCTCAGCTTACTTTTTAACATTTAGTTAGAATCACAAAGCCGGCCACTCGTTTCTCACTGTATTTTTCCCTCTCCTTCTTCGCTTTCTCACAAATTTAGTCATTCTGTAAAAAAAAACAAAAAAACAAGAACAGTGGAGGCTGTTTGTCAGTTTGGGGATGTTGTGATTCCTCTCAGGAGGAGGAAAGGGAGGATTCACTTGGCTGACGTCGCACTGTTTGTCTTTCTAGCTGCTTCTTTTAGCCGAGCCCAAAGCGACTACAGCAGTGTGAGAGGAGCTGCTGAGTTTTGTCCAACAGTCGGTTCTCCGAGGCAATAAAGCCGTTCAGCTCCAGATTTTCAAGCATGAATCATCCAGATGTATAAATATCCTCCAAAGAAACACTGCAGCAATTATTTTAGGCCCTGGATAAACAAAGTGAGGTAGCCTTGGACACAGTTGGATGTTCTAGGTTCCACTTTACAACAAAATGACACTTATGAAGGATTAATAAGCAGATATTATTCTGTACTTATTTAAAAAGCTGTATGAAACTATATCAAGCAATTATTAAAACGAGCATTACTGATCTGTTTTTTGACAACAAAACGGGTCAGAATATTTATAGGCAGACTCTGCGGTAGTCCTTTAGATTCAGACGGAGTAATACCGTATCAGTTTAATCAATTATCAATTATTATTATATACTAATTATAGGAAGACACCTTTGTGTGTGTGTGCGTGTGTGTATGTTGAATATATTCTTGATATTCGTGGAAAACATTTGAAGAAAACAGTAGATTAAACCTTTTATTTTTAGTTATGGACGAAAAAAATGTCCGGAAAAATGCAAAATTCCGGTAGTTTTCAAAATTGGAAACTTTTCCATTGGAATTAAGTGGGGATTTTTAAAAATTAACAGAAATTTATAGTAAGTGAAAAGGGATTTTATATGGAGTTGGTGAAAATGGATTTTAGCATAATCTCAACAAATTAGATTTTTTTTTTTTTGCTGTGTCATGCAACGATCAATACCTCCCTCTAAAACGTGATGAAACTGGACTTGTAGGAGCAAATATAAATTAATAAATTGAATTTATTACTTTCAAAACATTTGGGTCAATCTCATAACCCGCCCGTTTTGTTTAAACTACCCAAGTTTCCATTTATTTTGCGAAAATTCCCGAAATTGTTATGGACTGTTTCCAATTTAGAATATTTCCAAAATTCATCCAACGGAAAGGTTTTTCTAAATTTACCAGGAAACAAACGTAAAACAAACGCACCCTAGCCCAATCACCGAGCGTCTCAACTACGAAGAGTTAAATCGCAATATTCTGAATCAGGCTGAAAGTGGCCCATGAGCCACAAGTTGAACGTCTAAATTATGTGTACTCGTTTCAATATCACATATTTTTAAGGAACACCGTAATTATCTTGTAAAAGAGCAGCTAAACTAGCTGAAGAATAAAATAAAATATGAATAACGCTGATTATTCTCAGTAATTCATGAAGACTTGGGTCAAACCCTCGATATGAAGCGTAAATAAATTGTTTTTTTTTAAAGTAGTCTTGTTGTAAATTAGCGTCACAGTTTCAGTAAAAACATTCAAGTACAAAAGACTAGGTTTCCAAGGTTAAAAATACTTCGCTGTGTCTCGGTGAATAAATGTTTTTTGTCAGCTGGAGAAACTCAAAGCAGCCGTCGCTGCTCGTTTTTGTTTTGCACGCTCTGATTTAACGGCCCGGGTGTTTTATTTTTATTTTGGGGGGCCGGAGCGTAGAAGAGGATCGAAGCCGAGTCCTGCAAGACTAAACACTTTCCCTCAAAATACGTCGTCACCGTCCTCACCTGGCGGTGATCTGTTTGTTGTGTCGGTGAGGAGTTGTTTTTTTGTTTTCTTGTGGACGTTTCCTAAAAAGTAAAGCGCGTAGATGTTGGTTTAATGCTCAGATGCACGGCGGGCTTCCAGAATTTCAACCAAAAACAAAACCCCGCCGCCGCACCTGCTGCACGGATCCCAGGCGAGGAGCGTGTGAACCCCTCCATTCATCCCTCGCCGTGGTTAACCCCTGGAGGGAACGCCACCGTGGAGCATTCCTCGGGGAAAGATCCGTGATCAGATGTCGTTTGGTATTATCTGAGGACGGCTCCTAATCCACAATCTGCCCGCATCTGTGCGCAAACGTTTCCCAAGCTCTTATTCCCAAGCTTTACTTATTTTTTTATTTTTTTATTTCTGATGTGCCAGCGGACAGATGGCGAGCCCCTCTAGGAGCGGTGGCACCGAGCGTCTGGCCCTGCCCGCACATTCCCCTCCAAGCTTTTGTCAAGTGCGGGAACTGGCGTGGGGGTGTGTGTGTGTGTGGGGGGGGGGTGTTTACGCTCCCTGCCTGGGATAAACACACACAAAACGCTCTGAATGGAGCAACTTAGCTTTGTTTCCTAATTCAGTCTCACCCGATCAGCTGCTGACGAAGACGCACTTTCTCTGCCGTGAAACATCCGAGGATAAAAACACCTCCCGGAATTTAAGTGCTGCTTAAGTACCCCCCCCCCCCCTCCCCCCCAATGACTCGATCCAGGTGCTCGAGTAAAAGAAAAGAAAAAAATAATAAAAATCTTGACCGCCACAAATGGGTTTGAATATTCAGCGCATCTCTGATTAAGTCTCTCTTAAGAGCCTCTGCAGAAGCGCCGCCGCGCGCAGAGTGCCGACGCTGCAGTTTTCATCCCGACGCATTACTAAATGAATGCGTTGACCACGGGGCAAGGTTAGCCGGGTATTGGCAGGGATAGCTTTCAGCTGGATTGCCGACACGTGCGCTCGCATAATGCATGCAAAGGAGACGCGTCGTCTTGTGTGTGCGTGGCTTTTTGTCGTCGTTGCAGTCATTTGTAATCTGTGCGCGGGGCTGTTTGGAAATGTAGTAAGAACCGGGTGGGGGGGGGGGTATGAGTGTGTGTGTGTTTTAACTTCATTGCACTGTGACCCCGGATCGATAAAACCAGTTAGCTAATGAAAAAATAAAGTCTGCATGCTGCAGGGCACGCGCCCTCCTGTCCTGAGTCTGAGTGCACTCTCTTAAGTGAAGCGGTGCTTCGTGGTCAGGGTGCACCCGCTGCGCTGCAGCATGCAGACTTTATTTTTTTCATGGGCAACCTGGTTTTATCGTTCCGGGGCCCCCGCGCAATTGAATTACAACACGCACACCCTCCCCCCCCCCCCCCTTCACATTCTTTACCAACTAACTGCATTAATTTGTTTGTATTTTGTTTAACTTCCAGGTTAGCTGCTACCACTAACATCAGGGGTCTGCAACCTGCGGCTCTGGGGCCACACGTGGTCCCTTTGGTCCCTCTGCAGCGGCCCTTTCAGGCTTTGACCTAAACTAAAATAAAACTGAATTTGGTTTAAATTATTGCCAACAATGAAAACGGCTAGTTTTAGCAGATTTCCTGTCATTTTCAAATATGTGAAGAATAGTACAAATAACATGTGGACTACATCATGCTAGTAGCTTGTTAGCCACTTTAAGTTGACGTCCAGTCTCTCAGCGTGATCTTTCTCTCAAAACCACCAGAACGTTTTGGGATATCTTTAAGACAAGCTGCTGAGATGGAATATTCAATGACACTAAGATTAAAATACAAAAAACAAAGTCAAAGTAAACAAAAGTATTTACTTTTCTTGAAAAATATAACTGGATATCCAACAAACTGGTCTAATTTTATACAGTCTTTAACTTTATGCTTTACGTAGGATACTTTATTCTTCAACAATTAAAAGAACTCTGAGTTCAGTGTTTTTTTGTTTATAAAATTCTTTAAAATTTTATATATTTTCTCTTGTTACATGAATCTGGTCTTTTTTGTATTAAACGTAAAAAAATCAATAAATGTTTCTAATAGACATTTTTTTGTTTTATAATATTACCCCCTCTGGCCCGTAAAGCCATCTCCAACAAACTTGTGGTCCACGGGCCACCAGTTGACAGTACATAGTTGTAGCAGGTTTCGCGGACACGTCATAATTAATAAGCAAAGTGGCAAAAACAACTCTTTTTATGTCAAAGGTTGCAGACCCCTGCTCTAACTGTACCTGCATGTTGATGTCTGATCGTCATTTTCTCATTTAAAAAACCAAAGTAATGAAGAGTCTCTCACCGTTCTGGGCTCATTGTTTTTAATTCATTGCTGCTGTTTGACTCCTCTGCATGCATGTGTTGAGTTGTAGTGTAATCTGAAGTGGAAGTTGTCTTGGCCCAGTGATCTGACCGCTAGGTTTCAATTGACAGCTGAGGAAGTGTGACTGGAGCGTGACTCAAAACGGCAGGCATTATGGCCCCAGTGCCACTGACGACACTTTGGGGATTACTTGGCAAAGGTAACCTTTTCGTTCTTTCACGCCGTCTTTATCTCTCTCTCTCTCTCTCTCTCTCTCTCTCACATATGTGCACACATCTCCCCTTCCAATTCATGCCATCGCATTACGTATGATCTGATTGTACTGTTAATTCTTTGTATGTTGACGACTTGAAAATGTTAAGAGCTCCAGCTCTTGATCAAAGCTTATTGTTACTATAATAATGTGCCTTTTTTAATTAAAACCCCACCGTCCTGTGTTTTTCTCATGATTATAACTTGTTTTATGCTTTTTCTCTCCAATATGTAAACTGTAAAGGTCCAAACCGGTGATTCCCAACACTGGTCCTTGAGGAACACCATCCTGCATGTTTTAGTTGTTTTCTTGCTCCGACACACCTAATTCAGTGGTTTAATTACTTCAAGTTCTGCAGAAGCCTGTTAATCACCTGCTCATTCAAACCAGGTGTGTCAAAGCAGGAAAACAACTAAAACATGCAGGATGGTGTTCCGCAAGGACCAGTGTTGGGGACCACTGGTTTAAAAAACATAAAGTTAGGCATCTTTTTTTAGTCAATGCATATTTTTTAAATCAAAGTTTTAAGAGGGAAAAGAAGTGGTAGTTTTTCTTTTGAAGTGAAGTTCTGAAGAAACGGTTTATTTCTGACTGAACTGACGAGCTAACGGACAAAACGAGCTCAAATCTCTGTGAGCGATACTTTAAAAGCCGCCAGTTTCACATTACATTGTTACTTCAGCAGGTACACGAATAATTAGTACTGTAACTGTGAAGCACAGTGGTGGAGGGGTGACAATTTGGGCCACAAGGCCTGGACACCTTGCAGTAAAGTAATCAAAGTTCCATGAAATTCTGTTTATTTTGAGTGCAAATAGCAGCATTTGTGTAATTTTAGCTGATATTTCATAAAATATATATAACTGAAGCACAGTGGTGGAGGGATAATGAGTAGGGCTTGCTTTGCAGCCACAGAACCTGGCATCATCTGTCATGGAGTTGACTTAAGAGCTCCTTTGCAATGTATTTCAGAATCCAAAGTGGAGCCATCTGTCCAACAGCTGAAGCTTTTTAGAAAGTGCACCGTAAAACAAAACAATGATCTGGAACGTATCAATACATCAACAACAGAATGAGAGAGAATGTAGTTGTTGTAGTGGGCCATCGACGTCTAGAAATAGACCGGTGGGCCAGTCTAAGTCTGCAGCAGGACTTCAAGAGAGCCGTGCAGAAACAAATGTCTGGAAACCTCAACGCCACAAATTAATGTTATAAAGAAGAATGGGCCAGAATTCTTCTACAACCATGCCAGATGGAAAATGATCCAGATATGATATCATTTATCATGCGGTACATGAGGTGGAACAAAATTGTGTACTCAAGGCCCCAGTTTCACACAAAAATAGCAAAAATATATAAAGTATAAAAAAGAAACGGTATACAAGGATCTAAGATATAAGCTAAACAATAATAATATAATACAGTGTATTAAACAGCAGCCTGAACATGAGTCTGTTGTGAGCAGGTATGAATACAGCAGCTTAAGGTAAGAAATCAGCAGCATGGATAATCAGCAGCATGGATAAAGAGACATATCACCAATTAAAGTGTCATTACAGTGATTTTCCTGGTTAGACATTCATGAGTCTAACAGCATCAGGGTAGAAGCTGTTCCTCAGTCTAGTGGTTCTACACTTAATGCTCTTCAACCTTCTGCCTGAGGGGAGCGGGGCCAAAAGTGTGTGTGCTGGGTGAGTAGCATCCTTCATGATGCAGGTGGCCCTCTTCCTGCATCTGGAGGTGTAGATGTCTGTGATGGTGGGGAGACTGACTCCAACAGACTTCTGTGCAGCTTTCACCACTCTCTGCAGCTGTGCAGCCCCCGTGCCACACGTTGCTGCTTTACGAGGTTCTACAAGCTTCTGGGTCATGGGGTGGAACCTGTTGTGTGCTTTGGTCACTTGAGGTTAAATTTGAACAATTTGGGAACCTGTTAATCAGATTATTTCATTATGTCCTTATGCTGACGGAGGGTGGGGGAGTTACCCCCCGCCCCCCGACTACAAGAGGTACAAGCTCGTCTTTCCAGAGAACCCCACTTCTCGAGGGCGAAGAACAGCGTCATTTCAAGTAAAAGTGGTGACTCCTCTGGCAGCCGTACTTAAAGCAGAAAAAACTACAAGTCCGTTTTTTCCTCCTGGACTCTGAACTGAATCAACTCGAGCCTCTAATCAGAAAAAAAGTCCTTTTAGGTCACATTTCGCAGGATGGTTTACTCTCCGTGTTTAAACAAGCTTAGTTTTGTTTGACTTTACGCTTCACTCTCCTTAACTTAAAGTTACAGATCATAACCCCACCACCACCACAAACCCACCACCCTACTGGTTCTGTACTGTACTTCTCTCCCTCTCCTGGGGAGGAAAAAAACCCTGGATCGTTTCAGCACAGCAGAGCGAGCAAGCTGAGCTAAGCCTTTTCCTGTTTGCCTTATTTTCCCTGGACGTGAAGAGTATCCGTGTGTGCGCATGTGTGTGTGTACAGGTCATTCTGCTCTTGCTGGAGTTAAAAACGCACACAGCAGAAACCCCCTTCGACAGGCCTCCTAATAGGTGGGCAGAGGTAGCAGCAGTCTGACGTCTCTTTTCCACCTCGTGAGGCTCCGCAGCTAAACGTGGTTTATTTTCAGAGCGGGATGCTAATAACGTTATAGTTCCTTCTGTTTGATGGATCTTTTCCAGTAGAAATGGAATTCGTCTTTTGTCTTCCTCATCTCTTTTTCGGCGCTCGCCTCCAAATGTAAGAAAAAAGAAAAAAAAACTGCCGGACTCGCATGTTGCCATTGTGCAGGAAATGGGTCAGCAATCCATTAAGATGCCATCAGATAATCTAATTTGGCGAGCTAATCCTTAAACGAAGCACGCTGTTTGGCCGGGCGGTGCTCGCAGGGAGCAGAATTAGTGAGGTCCGGGAGACGGAGGTCGGGTCGCTTGCCTTGAGCAAGACAGGTCCGTGCAAAAGTCTTGGATCGGTCCTCTTTATTTATTTTTGCTTTCATGAAGACAGTCCGTTTTGCAAGTTTGGTTCATCTTTCTGTGTTCAAACTTGTGTTTTTACTTGTTTTCTGTCCAGAACGTGATCGTTTTTAAACTGCATTTGTGACCCGTTCTGGCAAAACCAGTCGCAAACGAATGGTTTCAATATCTGGTTAATATCTATATAATAAACTGTATTTTTCGGAGTATAAGGCAAACTTAAAATCCTTAAATTTTCTCAGAAATCGACAGCGAGCCTTATAATCCAGGGCGCATCATGTATTAACTCTGGTTGTGCTTATTGACCTCGAACCGATTTTATGTGGTTATTGTGAATGAGTTGAATCAAGTTTGACTTATCTGTTTTATTTTGCTTAATGCGCCTTATAGTCCGAAAAATACGGTAATAATAATATCTAATAACTGAGCATGAACCTTGAGGTTTTCAATATCGATTTATTATACTTTTTAAATTCTCCTGAAAAGCTTCAAAATGATATGTAGTTTGTTAAAATTTAGTGCTTTTTATCTCCTGACCTTAGTAACAAGATAGTTTTGTTACCAAAGTGGCAAAGTTTGAAAACTTAAAATTTTTACTGTCCAATCCTGGTCTTTGAGGCCCACCATCCTGCACGTCTGCCTGCTCCTACGCACCTGATTCAATCGTTAAATCACCTCTAAGTTCTGCACAAGCCCGTTAATCACCCGTTCATTCAAATCAGGTGTGTTGGAGCAGAGAAACATGTAAATCAGGATTATTCAACCAAACTGTTCCGGGGGCCACAGTTACTGAAAGCCAAGAGCTCAGGGGCCAGACATCCTGCAGTTATTGTCTTTAAGTAAGTTTAATGGTTTAAAATCCAGTTTTATTTAAAAATGAACCCACTGGTGGGCCAAACTGAGCTCACCCGTGGGTCTGATTTGGCCCCTGGACCACCTGTTGAATAGCCCTGATGTAAAACCTGCAGGATAGTGGCCCTCGAGGGCCATAATTGTACACCCTGGGTCTAGAATGCAGTCACGGTGAATTCTAAAGCTTCACCGTGACTGCAAACATTATACAAAGGGATTTCCCAGTGCTACGGCAGAACAAAAAAATAAATTTCAAAGGATTAGAATCAAAAGGCTTAAATCTGCATACAGAAGTGTCAGAAAACTGTTATTCAGGAATAGATTATGAAGATTAAATTCTATTTTCGCTACATGGTACCTTTATGAACTCGTTTTATACAAATCCCAATTACAGCTAAAAATCTAAACTCAAGGGATGAGCCAGTGTTGTGACAACATAAACAGTTTAGTAAAGCAATTTGAACTTAGATGTTTATTATATATTATTTATTTACTAATGTAACTTTGATGCTAACGGTCAGTCACAAACAAACAATTTGACTCCACTTATTTAATTATTTGAATTTATTTAATAAAAAAAAAAAAGAAAAACCCAGTTTAACTCTTTTAAGGCAGCTCTTTGACTTTAGCCAAGTCTTTATTGCTTCTCTTGAAGTTTTCTTCCAAGGAGCCAGACGTTTTGGTCATTTCTAAAGTGGTCTTCAGCAACATTTCTTCAGGCTTTCTGAAGTTTGTAAAAATTTATCTTTTTTGATTTTGTCTTTTTTTCTACTCCTCATTACCATTAAGTTAGTTATTTAACTCTGACCCATGAACACTTCAGGTATAAAAAGCCTAAAGTCAACAAATTAATTAGTGATGGGTCGACACGTTCACGACTGAGGAAATATCTTGTTTTACTTTGGACCGAAGAGTTGGCTAACTCAGGGGGTTCCCAACCCTGGTCCTTGAGGAACACCATCCTGCATGTTTTAGTTGTTTCTCTGCTCCGATGCACCTGATTTTAATTAATGGGTGATTAACAGGCTTCTGCAGAACATGAGGAAGTAATTAAATCCCTGAATCAGGTGTGTTGAAGGAGGGGAAACAACTAAAACATGCCAGATGGTGTCCCTCAAGGACCAGAGTTGGGAACCACTGGGCTAACTTGTAAATTTGTAACTTTGTGATCTACAGTCACAGAGACACAATTTCTTAATTTCTATGGTGGAATGTATTAAAAATTCCCAAAATAGCGACTAACTGATTTAAAATTATCGCGGAGGTTACGTTCCCCACCCCACAGTGAAAAATAGGTGAAAAAACGTGAAGTAGGAACGCTATATTTATTTTAGTATTTATATATTTTAAGGTTTTATAAACCCTTCCCACACTCTTGCATTGTTCGAAGCTCTTAAACCTATGTAATTTTAACAACATATGTACTGTACAGTACTGTAAAATTTTATTCACCAGCTCTGCAGACCAGCAGCTCGGATCCGATCGGGCTCGGTTCTAGTTCGGCAGACGAAGCCCACCGCCCCGTCCAGGTTGATGTGCGCGTGAATAATTGAGCTTCAGGATTATTTGAGACTTTCCTGACAGTTCTGTAGCTTAATAGATTTGCGTCGCAAAACTTTCCCTCCATTTCGGCAGAAAGCAGTGGGCGGAAGCACTGTTGGCTTCTGGGTAGTGTAGTTCTTTTGACTGGCGTTACAGTGTAGGCTTACTGAAAGAAAACTACAAAATGGCGGCTCTTGTCCGAAGTTTTTTTTCTTCCCGTTAACGTTTTATCCCGTACAGTCCCAACCATGTGAGTAATATTAAAGTTGACAATCGTGTGTCGTGTACAATCCTACGTTGAAAAAACGCAAAAGAGCGAGTCAGCAAAAGTCGAACCGCGAAGTATCGAGGAACTACTGTAGGGCTTTTTAGCTGTCTAGTCTTGTTTCAGTTTTATGGATTTCTTTTCTTTAAAGCTCAACATTCAGGTATCGTTCATAGTATTTAAGCTTTAATGTTTCCTTTTTTTTTGTTCTCCACGTGTTTATTCCCTCTCACTTCTGTTAGAAGCATCACTCTGTCACGGTCAGGTTCAGGTTCAAAACCGTCAGAAAGGCCGAAGAACCGCTGCACATGGCTTATTGGAGGCAAAACGTAAAACAAACTTGAGACGGTTTAAAAACTTTGAGCGAGCTTTAAAGCTTAGCAGGGACTAATCTCGGTAAAAGAAGTCCGTTAGCGCCGCTTCAGATATTGAACTTTACGAAGCCTTGATTGGATTTTAAGTTTATTCATACCACACATGGACCTGAGCTCTCAATAGATCGACGCACCCCGAGAGGGAAAAGTGGTGCAGATTTAGTCCATCGGACGCAGATGTGGGCTGACAGCCATCGATTTTAATGAGATTAAAAACGATTTGCACACAAAAGACCGCAAGTGCCCTTTTGTATCTGTGTGGTCCCCCCCCCCCCCCCCCTTCAATGTAAGCCATTCCATTAGAGGAGTTTCATAAGGAAAGAGAAACAGAGATGGAGGGTAAAAAGAGAGCGCCGCAGCCTCCTTGGCCGCTCTGTGCGCTCTTTGTTCGGCAAGGTAGGAAAAATTTAATCCCCCGTTTCCTGTCCGATGATTTTTTGGCAGAGCAACGGGGGTGGGGGGGGGGCTGCATGTTGGGAGAGGATTAGCCTTGAAGTCTTTATCTTTTTAACGCTTTGCGCTCAGGAACCCAAAACTTGAGCGTTGTTTTGCTTTTGTTTGGAATCCATCTTCTCCGCTGCGCCCCCCCCCCCCCCACCCCCCACCACCACCACCACCTCCCTTTCACTTTTCATTAAAGAGCCCGGCGTTCTCGAGGCCACGCGGTGAATTGAATTTGCACATTCATTGTTTTAAGTTTAAGACGTGTGACAGGTGGTTTGTATAAAACGCAGACAGTGTTGTCCGACGGATTCTGTCCGTTTCACCTCCGCAAAGCACCAGCATTAAACTTCATTCACCCTCTCCTCCCTCCATCCTTCTCTCTCTTCTTTTTTTACTTCCGTCTGTTACTTTTCATTAGTGTGAGCTGCAGCAGTGTTTCTGTGTTTCACTTCACTTTCACGGCGGGTTCGATGAGAAGCTCACAGCGCAGGTATTCACAGGGTGACGTGAGAGGGTGTTAGATGAGTGCACACTGGGGGCCTGTGAGGAAGAAAAGAGGGGTAGGGGGGCGGGGGTGGCGGAGAGCGGTGGGGGCTAATTATCTGACATGTACGTAGCGCAGCGCCCCTCGGGAACAACATGCTGCTTGTTCCCCGCTCGCGTTTTCAGTTTGCGCCGTTGCTCCGCAGAAACAATCACTGTGTTGTTTTGCCATTAGCGTGAGATGAATAGGGATGGGACAGCTTTGTGTAGGGACCCCCACTTTTTTTCAAGCGCCTACCCCCCCCTCGAGTCTATGCAGAGAAGCAGGCCTGCGTCACGACCCTCTTATATGATGGGGAACCACCTCAGCTTAGATCAACCCAGCCTTTCTTTGTGATCTTTGTCTGAACTGCACAAAGTAACAAAAATAAACCCTGTGAGGATCAGTCCAGATTGTTTAAAGTGGGCTTACGAGCAGTTAATATCTTACCTGCTCTAGATAGCCCTTTGAACGACCTCCGTTTGGAGAAGTGGAGTTTAATTCTGACCATATTGACAAGCTAATGGCTAATCCAAGAGTAGCCAAGATCAAATTTGACAACTGCCACCTTCGAACAAGTCCAATCTCAAAAACTGACCGTATTTTTTGGCCCATAAGTCGCAGTTTTTTTGTGTAATTTACATGCCCTGCGACTTATACACCGAATCAACTTATTTATGTTTTTTTTTTCCATATTTATAAACCAATTTTTGGCTGAGATATGACCGTTTTCATTCGTTCTGACTGGAAAATATTGAACACTACCATTGTCAGCCTCTAGATGGCACTTGAGTAGTATGGCATGCCATTGTGTCATGTAATAAGTAAAAGTGGCTTAATGACACAATCGGCTTGCCATATAAGGCTTCCTTCGTCCAGCTCGCCTGAAGCAAACATTAAAAATCAGCTTCATTTCACTGCGCCGCCCTGGCGAAATGCAGCTGCTTTGACCATTGAAGTGCATTTATTAAGTAAAAGTTCAACTGAGACACCTTTACTATAATGTCGAGCAAACAAATAATTGTTTTTAAGTGTTAATCTTGTTATTGTTAAAGTGCACGCTCCCTCCGCCACCATTTGGTAGCCATTCGATTTTTGGCACAACACCGGCCCACATTTTCGGGTTGTCAGCGGTAACGTGTAATAGATGCAACTTATACGGTGAAGCAACGTATTTGTTTTTTTCCACTTTATTAGACATATTTGGACTGATGCGACTTATAATGCGGCGGGACGGGAAATACGGTAATTGTTACATCGCCATCCCGTTTTGCATTACGTGATTATTTACGTTGAATTCTGTGGTTATTTTCAAACACCACAGACTGTATGTAACATAGACCAAATTTACCTTCTATCGTTGATGCAAATAGCAGCCAGCAGGGCCCGGTTCACAGAACCAGCTACGGTATATTTTTGGAACCGGCGTCTGAGCACTAGCGATGTGGGGCTTTAAGCTCCGCCTACTTTCTTACATGCAATCATGGTGTCACATGACCTTTTATGGATGAAGCAACTGATTACAGCTAATTGCTTTAGTAGAATGAATATCTGAGCGTAAGAAATACCCGAGTCAACACATGAAAAATTAAATCTTAGGTATTTTTTATTTAAAAAACAAAACAATAAATAGAACAAAATAGTCTGTTGTCCCAAAGAGAAATATTCCATATGGTTTTGTTCCTTTATGTGCAGAGGGACATGAGAAGGTTGGTCCCATAGCTTCAGCTTCCAGGTTCTGGTTGGCTTTCTACATATAAGCAGCCCAAGGCCAGCACTAACAGCAGCGACCAGCTGTAGCACTTCCTGTGTAGCTTGAGACACTTCTGGCAGGAATATAAAATATTTCAGCTGAAAAAAGTTGTGTTTTTTATGCCACTATGAAGTTTTTAAGCTTTGACTTGTTTGGAGATGACGGTGATCCATTCAGACTAGCCGTTAGCTCGTCAGTCTGGTCAGAATTACCGGTAAACATTTTTTTTTCTTTCCCAACAAATTAAATTTATGAAAATAACTTTATCCAACAGGTAAGATATCGTTGTTTCAAAACTTTTCAACATAACCCCTCTTCAAAAGATCAGAGCTGGACTCCCTCCAGCAAAGCTAGTTTGCTGAGAGTTTGCTGCAGAAAGAAGTCACAGGCATGTAATTAACCGTCTCCTTGTCCTTCTGTGTGTCTCGTTTTCAGTCCTGGTACCTGGGCGAGCTTAGTTCCATTCCAAGTGTCGAACGGGACTCCGATTCTGCCAACAAATGTCCACCAGAACTACAGCATAAACATCATTGGTGAGCCGCTGGTCCCCGCCGAGACCGGGAACTGAGCCTGCAGAGACCGGACGACCCCACCTCCCCCGCTCCACCTCTCAGGGTGGAAGGTGCGGTACTGAGCTAGCGCCGCCGGTGTCCGCAGCCACGGATGAAACCAGCAAAAGCAGCAGGTGCTGCTAAAAAAATAAAAAAAAAACTGCCCCCTTAATCCCAGTCTCACCTCTTCCACGCTCTCCCCGGCCTCTTCACTCCCACTCCTTCCTCCTGACGATGGACACGGGCGCTGAAGTGAAGATGAGGGACGGCTCAGAGGAAAGACGCTTCAGGTCTGCCGTCTTCTTGCAATCACCCACCAGTCAGTTTCAGAACTCTTTCAATCCATCTAAATACTGTGATGTATAGATGCCTTAATGTTTTATTGCATGACATTCTAGACTCTTAGCAGTACTATTTTTCCACGCTGGAGGAAGACGTATAACCTACATTTAAACACACTCAACACTAGGGGGGTCTGCAGATTGACACCTGCCTGGTCGACGACTCAAAGACTCCGATCTCTTGAAAAGAGACTCCCCCACCCCCTACGCGGAACGATTCACTGTGTACACCGTAGGAACAAAAAAAACTTGTGAATTCAGAGTGTTTCTTCTTCCGTTTTGATTTCAGTTTACTGTGAGACGGCTTTCATCTTTTAATTTGTCGTTTATTCTTTACTGCTACTTCGAGAATTAACACTTAACAGCAAGAGTTGAGAACTCTTGATGCAGTTTTCAAAAAACACTAAAACGCTAGGCTTGAGATTGGACCCCTCCTTTAAAAGAAAAAAATAATCCTTTTCAAAAGGAATGTAATATTAAAAGAGGAAGACGTAAATTGCGACAGAGGCAAGTGCAATTGAATTTTTATTTTTTTTTTGAAGGGAAGCTATCAGTCTGACTGCCCTGAGACTCTAAAGGAAGGGGGATAATTATGAGATGTTTAAGAAAACATTTGAATTTGATTTCCGTCACATATCCATCTCTTTGCATGAGGATGAGGCAGTTGAAGGCAAGCATAAATCTACCTGTGCAGAGCTGAGCAAAACCAGCACCTAATTTGAGCCCTTCCCATCAATATGGGGAGATTTTTATTTCTTGTTTTTTACGTGTGTGTGTGTGTGTGTGTGTGCACATTTGTTTGTGTGTGGGAGTTACCAACCTGGAATATGTCAAGAAATTGATGTTGCATTTGGCTATCAGCTTGTAAAGCGAATCTTTGCAAAAACAAACAAACAAAAAAAGTTGAAAGGATAGTTGAGATATTTTTAAGTGGGCTTCTTGTTGTAAATAGCTCTTTGAACAACGTCTGTGACAAGCTATCAGACGAAATTACCCGCTGCCGTCTTTAAACAGTTCCAGTCTCAAAACTTTCATAGTAGTTTTTGTAAACGATATATTTTTTAAAAACTGATTTCCAAACATTTTCTGGAAGTCTCGCAACCACATCTATCTACACATGTTGCTAATAAGTCAGTTAATTATGGAGATGAGAGGAAAAAACATCAGCTGTAAAGTTATTTTTACACATTCAACAGGGGTGCCACTAAGGGGGTGCCAGGGGGGGCAATGGTCTCCCCTTAAAAAATATTGGTGCCCCCCCCTACTGACCACCTTGGCTACAGTTTACAGGCTCTTGAGTAGGGCTGGACAATATTTCGATATATATCACAATATACTTTTATTCAATAAAGGTGATATGAGTTTTAAGCACACTTTCGATATTTCGATAAACATTACGCTACGATTACAGCGTTTCACTGACGCATTTCGTTTTCTGTTCAGTTTGAAGCGGTCGCTTCAACCCGAACAGGAAAAAGCCGCGACACAACTACGTAAGTGCGTGGTGACGTATGCCACACAGCTCAAGTCCAGAAGGAGTCAGCGGTAGCAGGCTAGGCTAGGCTAGGCTAATCTCCAACGTGCGGTAAGTTTTCACTTCAAAATGAGTGCCCATGACCGTCAGAATGTGACTGAACAAGCTTTCACAAGCGAAGAGAAAGCAGACGACATCACTGATAAGAGAGGGAAGACTAGTTCGGTGGTGTGGAAGTGGTTCGGCTAAGTGTGCTGCAAAATGTGACGGAGAGTCATTCCAACTAGCGGTGGGAACACATGAACTTGTTCCACTCGATAGAATATGCTGAGTCAGAAGATGAAGAACAATAAAAGTTTGAGCCAACGTGTCCCTGAAACATCACCCCAGCTGTATCAGAAGAGAAACCCATGCAACACGTTGTTGTTTAAAGTTAAAACCATTAATATTGACAAAGTTGAGAGTTTTATGTTTATTTGACGGTGATTTCAAGTTTCTTTGAAGGCTAAATACAAATAAAAGGTGAACATTAATTTATTTGTACAGTTTTTCTGAGTCTTTTATATTGTTTATATCGATATCGAATTATATCGTTATCGGCCGAAATTAAGAAATGTATCGTGATAAAAGTTTTGGCCGTATCGTCCAGCCCTACTCTTGAGCCCCAAGCTTTTCCATGGTGTGCATTTTTTATTTTTTTTTTCTCCTGGCTATTTAGGATTAATAGAACCTTGTAAACATAAAACAAACATTGTTTTTGAGCAATTAGGAGTAATTTTATTTAAAATAAAAATTAAACTTAAACCCTAATCGGCCTGACTAAAGACAACAGATCTAAAGTCAGTGTTCTCAACATTAGGCTGCAGGGTCTCAGGAGATTATATACATAATATTTTTATAAATATGAACTTAGGAGAGGACAAGCGTCAATACGTTGAGTAATGACCGTGTTTTCTGAAACTAATATGGTCTAAAAAGCAAATGATGGAATATTCTGGGATAATGCTGTAGTATATAGTATATTTTTGCCAGAATAACTTAAAATTTTAAACAGGTTTATAAATGTTACTTAAATCTTCCATAATGAAGCTTTTTAGATTGGAGTGGTATAAAGATGGCAGCAATCCACTTCGTTCTTGGCCATTCAAAAACTAGCCATTAGCTTGTTAATCTGAACAAAACGAAACTCCGTTTTACTAATCGGAGGTCGTTTAGAGAGCTTAAACAGGTAAGACATTAATCTTTCCACAGAACTCCACCTCGAAAATCTAAACTGTCTCTTTAAAAAAAAAAAATTATAAGTTTGTAAATTCTTCATGCAGACGTACTGTAATCGTATACAGCTTGTGCAAGGTTAACTCTAATGTGGAAGAGGCTGAAAATGGTGGTGGCGTATCCCTGAAATCAAGAATTCTGCATGGCAATCCCCCAGCTGTTGCCTCTCCAGTCAAGACGCAAACTTATATATACACGAGGAAAATCTCTCCGATACTCTTTAATTTGCACGATGACGTATAGTCCACATTACGTGCCTTGCCTTTGAATATAGAGACATCACTACACTTGTTTTTGCTGCATTTATCATTATAGAGAAGAAAGAAAAAAAACATTTTTATGATAAGAATTGTTTTGTAATCTGAATGAAATTGTTGATTTTTACCTTCATGTACTACTCTATCTCACAGTTAGGTTGCATATCAAGGCTGTGTATAGTTGCCATTTTAAAGTTTGTAATCAACCTGCAATTTTATTTTCCCCCGAGTATTTTGGTTTTTCTAATAACCTTTATTTTAATTATTATTTTCAGTGCTCCTTTTTCTTCCATCTTCCAGATACTATTGTGGAGGGTGGAGTTCAGAATTATGAAAATTATGCAATACCAAGTTTTGCCTATGTAGGTAGTGCTTCTAGATGTGTCCATTATTAGAGGCTAGTTTGGAGATAGATGATATGGTAATGCATTTATTTTGTTGATATTGTTCGTCATTGTTGTTGTTGTTGATGATGTTGTTGTTGTTGTGGGTGTTTTTTTTGTTTTTTTTTACTGACCAAAGTGGGGACTGCTTTCTATGCAGCAGCGTGTGACGAGGTCTTTTTATTTTTACCGAACATTTACAATGTACTATAAAATATGGATTTTTATTTTTGTTTCCCCCTAAAAGAATGGTAGAAGTTTTTTTTTTTTTTTTTTTTTAAAGTGCACCCTTGGTCTTTTCATGGCTGCAAAGTCACTGATTGGTCTACTGTGACTCATTTTTAACTCTCCACCCAGGGTGCTAGCATTTGACCGTCTACGGAGCTCACATTTTACCGGAGAGACGGCTTGACTTGAGCATGACAATCATTTTAAGAGATTTTGTTTTTCTTTTTTTCGTTCTTCTTCTTTTTTTTTTTTTTTTGCGTAGCATCTCATCCCGACTCGGATCCCTGAAGACGGTCGCTTATTTTTAGAAGCACTGTATTACTCGATGTCACCGAATGCAATTCCCGAGTAGATGCCTTAAAACACATCAGTGACGTGGCCTGTGACCTGCGCAACAATCACACACCGACTAATGCTAGTGAGACCTGTCCAAATCAGCTCAAGACAGGCTCAGGCAAGCCTTTAGAAAGTGTTTTATAAGTAGGAGATTTGTATAAATGTAAATACAATATGCACACATGTCAGTTTCAAGATACTTCCCTAGCAAAGCCAGTAAAGTTTAACTGTTATAATGGCCAAGTAGACGCTTAAATAGTCGATTAAGAGAAAATTTTAGCACTTAAATAGCACATAGGCAATCATCTTGTCCCGTCTGTGCAGTGTCAGAACTCTCAAACTAAAGCCGAATCCCATTTCCTAGTATTACATAAAACGCTTACCCCCTACATTTTGACCCCAAATTTAGTCACAAAGATTAGCTGTAAAAAATATTTAATTGCAACATAGGATAAAACAAGAAGTTGAGACGCCATCAGTTGTCTCAGATTTCTTTAAAACAACAAACGTCTGCAAATAAAGTGTGAAAGCCAGTTATCAAGTCTGCAACTGACTGGCATATTACCCAATTGTTTTTATGCTTGAACATTATAATTGGTGTAAATCACTAAACTAAACATTACACTAAACTAGACATTACAAGGGCTGTTGAGAAAGTAAAATGTTTTACCAGAGGCGTAAGATAATATTTTTGCTTGTTAAGTAAAATTGACAGTAATACCAAACATCGGAACACACTAAACTAGAGTTGACCATAGTTATGGCAATAAAATTAAAAATTATCGAAGAAATCTAATGCTATCTTGCAGTTTTTAATGCTTTTTAACTTAACAACATACCAAACACAAGACATTGGTAATACACTAAACTACACGTTACAGTGGTTCTTGAGACGGTAAAATATTTTACCGGAAAAAAAATACAAAAATATTTTTCGTCATTTTTACGTTTGTTACTAGTAAGACGGCAATATCAAACATTGAAATACAATAAGCTGGACATTACAATGGTTTGGAGACGATAAATCATTTTACCAAACTTATTAAACTATTTTTTATTTAAAAAATTGATAGTAATAAACGTCAAAGCAGAATAAAGTTGGTCTCAGGTGGACCACAGAATACTTTACCAAAACTATAAAACAATTTTTTTTAAACTTGTTGGGTATAATTTCTTTTCATTCAACCTTTATTTATACAGGTTAGTGTCATTGAGACACGAGAACTAATTTTCAAGAGAGACCTGTAATTGACAGTAACTAGAATAATGATAATAATAATAAAATGTACAATGCACTGATAGTTGAGACTATGTTGTGTTTTACAGAATAAATTATTTACTATTTTTACCTTTTTGTGCTCGGTTAAAAAAAAATGACAGCAATGCCCAACATCAGGACTAAATTAAAGTAGATTTTAAAATGTTTTACCTCAAAAACATAAATCTTTTAGTCTATTTTTACATTTGGTAAGAAGAATTAACAATAATATCAAACATTAGATTACAATGAACTAGACTTTACAATGGTTCTTGAGACACTAACTTTTTTTTAACGTTAAAACACTAAATTCTTTATACCAATTTTTATTCTTGTTCATAATTTAAATTAATATCAAACATCCGATTATAATGAACTGGACGTTACAGTCGTTTTTGAGACAAAAATATATATATTATTGGCAATTTTAGAAAGAATTTTTGGTAATACCAAACTTCTGAATACACAAACCAAACTTTACCATGGTTCTTGAGACAATAAAACATTTTGGCGGAGAAAACGGTAAAACAAAACAAAAAATTGCAATGTTCTGTGCTTGTTGACAGCAATATCAAACCTCAGAATACAAATAAATAAATAAATAAACCTAACAGTGGTTTTTAGAGACGTAAAAACATTTTACCGGAGAAAACTAAAAATTTCGCAATGTTCTGTGCATGTTGACAGCAATATCAAACCTCAGAATACAAA